CATTGTGGGAAAATTCTACTACCAGTCCTTCATCACCTTACACGAAATAGGGTCAATACATCTCATTACAATGATTTACTGGTAGTCTCGAAACCCTACTTTCTTTCCAATAATTTAGTAAGAAACTCTAAATATAAATGTAGCATTTCGAATAGTTTCTCAAGATAAGTTGTATTTCCTCGAACTTTTTGTATATATTATTCTCAATATGAAGAATCCCTTTTTGCTAAATTAGTTTTTCTCGCAAGTGATAAGATTGACCATTTTAATACATTTCAAAACGAAGTCTTGGCAACTATTATACTCGAGATAAAAACTAGTCCTGAAAGAGAAAACTCCTCTGGAATTCATGGTACACCGTAATAAAGGCAAGAATGTGGTCAAAAGATATTGAAAACTTAATCTAAACGCTTTTTAATTTAGAGTAATCATCCTCCAGGTCTTAGCGAATCATATTAGTTCAATAAAAGATGGTGTTGAGAAGGAAGCTAAGAAGGAGGAGCTTGAGAATTAATTTTATCAATACTTTTTGCCTTTTTGCCTTTTTCAAAAAAATTAGGACCCAAAGATGCGCGCAATGAGGCATCACATTGTCGCTAGTTTAATAATCCATTACTCAAATCAGGCTTTTAAAAACAAATGTGATCATTGATCGTCCAATTTGCCAAAGGTTATACAAACATAAAATATGGGGACTGCGGGATCGCAGAAGTCTTGCTATAAATATGAAAGTAAGATACCAATAAATTATGGAATGTGCGGGAGTGAATAAAATAAAGGGAGGTAAGAATATAAGCAAGAATTGCAAGTCTTATAACCAAACTTAGAGTAGAGACAAGTCCATTCCTTGGCCAATTTTCCGCAGAACAGTTATAGTATCTCTTCTCTCTTAGTATATTCACCTATCCCGCATATCCTGTCGCTTTACCCACTATCATAACCGCTAATTTGTCTACTCTCACCTACCACAGAGCCCTTTTAAGCGTGGCCAAATCATAACCCGCTAGTTTCGTCATTCCTCCCAATGTGCTGATAGTGTTGATACAACTTGACTGTTTCAGTCTAGAATCTACTTCATCCAAGTCATAGCAGAAACCCTCACGTCTTGGAGTATCCATGTCTTATCAACCTAGCTGAGTGACTTTACTTGGGCATTGCCATCGCATCGTGTTATTTGAGGCATCATCTCCTATGATCTGCCTCAAGCGTCTGACAGTAGATATAATACTGTAGCCTCACTGGACAGGTCTCCTAAGCCTGAATTCTCAAGCCGGATTATAGACTAACGCATAACCGAAGTTTACTTGATCTTAATCTGGCCTATGCATCAGATAAATCTCGTAGGCAGGCCTTTGCTTTGCGAACAACGTCGAACCAGTTATTTTGGTTGCTTTAGCTTACTCTTCTCATTTAAGACCCTAGCAGCATAACAAATAAAGAATGGCATTTGAGGTAGCAATAACCATGGACAACCCCAAATTATAAACTATATTTTAGACTAATTCTCCCTTACAACTAAATCTAAAATCTCACTGGTGGACGCTGAAGAATGTAGAGAAGTTTAATATTTCTTCATCAAGAATAAGACAAAACGATCCTAAGCATAAAATAGCAAAGCGACTCATGGCTGCCGAATAGTTAAAGAAAGTAGTTGTAATTCAGGACTTAAGCCTTCAGCCTAGGTCAAAGTCAGGGCTAATTCCAAATGGGTGTACAAGAATATAGTTAACTAATGTAGTCTGGCAGGTATCCAAAACTTATAGCACAGAGCCGTATAGGGTTAGTGTACTAAGTTCTGCGAATGAAAGTAATCTCAATGCACCCTACCACCTGATTCACGCCACAAGCCTGGAGTACAACCTGCCTATAGGTCAATCAGGAAGTGTCTGCAGTATGAGATGGTATGGCCAATGCCAGTCTATGTGAAACTATATCACAAACATTCTTCGTCTCATTCACAAAGTAAATGGGCCTACATATTTATCAAAAATAACAATATGGTTAAAATAGAATAGTAATCCGAAAGGATGAACTCTGGTTAGCATAGAAAACATAACTAACACTTTGGTTAACATAAGGTTCCTTAGAAGGCGGCAATTGAATTTTTTTAATTAAGCAACACCATGTAGTAATAAAAGGAAGTCGAGTCTTTTCCAACGAGCTCAGGTTATTCTCTCTAATTCGGACAAATTAAGCTCCTAGCAAAAACATGTTAACTCGATTAGCTACTGTCGAAGGAACTTGATTTGATTTGGGCTTATAAAGGTATACTGTGCAAGATATTCTTGAAAGTGCTCAGTGAAAAAAGTCAAACTATTAGATACCATTCAAAAAAGAATAGTTCACTAATATCAAAATTAAAGATTGAATGGTTTGGTATATGATTCTCATTGTGGGTTTAACCCTTCATTATGAAAGATGTGCAACTTACTGTCTACAACAGTGTTAATTGGCTCAGGAGATCTGCCTCGAGTTCGTAAAGCGCGGCCACTCGTTAGGGCGCCATAGCTGCGGGCCGCTGACGCCAGACGCTCCGAAAATGTGGGCCCTGTCGCCCTCTGACGTCGGGCTGGTTCCTTCGCCTGATACTCCTGATGATAGTAGTCCTGATTGCTACCGATCCAATCAGATGGTATGCCACTGGTCTGGGAGTAGCCCATATGCAACGGCTTGAGAGGAGGGGGCGAGCGGGACCGCGATGGGGGAGAGCGGTAACCAGCAGATGGGAGCGCATCCTCTGGTACCATACATGAAATTCCGCCCACATTACTACCGCCTATCTTGCCATGGCTACCATTACATTCGCCGCAGCTGTCACCAATTGTAATATTGGCAGTCATGTCCAAAAAGCCCTCAGCCTCTTCGATGGCTGGTGAGGTCGGCAAAACTGTTTGCCCTTGGCTGGGATATAAGGTGCCTACATGATGGCTGTGACGGTGGTGGCGAGAATGCAAAATTGACTTTATTAATCCTGAGGTTGTAACAGGAGAGGGGAGTCCAGAGGTTGAAGGTTGGATGATACTGTTTGAGCGGACTAAAGTGAAGAGAAAATGGTATAGAGATAGTCTTTATAATAGAACCATTACTTACAATGCATTGGAAGAAGTGGCATAAAGGGAATTATTAGGGAATTAAAAGACACAAAGCAAGCATCACTGATCGAGATTAGTGTCACAAACAGCTATAATAAGAATCCTACGATTGTAATAGAACGTAAAAGCAAGCACCGGGGATTGGAATTTAAGAACATAAATCTCATTAAAAATCATACATGTACCTCCGGGAATCTTCTTTGGAATTTATTTTGGCTTGAATCAAATATAACATTCCGTAAATTACACTTTCGTTTATACACATATATATACATGCTGATTGAATAGAATGAGCTATGAATAAATAGGCTGAAGAGACCCATGTAAATGCATCTCTATAAAGTATTATTTTAGGTTCCCAGCTTTGATGGAGTAAAATCATGTTCTCCGATAAAGTAGGCCATGTAACTGAGACTAAATGCGGACCAAAAGTCGAAACGGACAAAAAAAAGATTTAGCGATTTAAAGGCTAAGTCAAATAAAGACAGACAAACACGTGAGAAATATCGTAAGTTTTGCAGGAAAACACAGCGAATAGGATTGATAATAGAGTACATTTCCTTTT